GTTGTAGTGAATGTAGATAGACAGACCCAATAGAGAATAGGAAGTAGAGTGATGGAGAGGCAGTAGCATGGGATTTTATTATGTTTCGAACACTGTATTTTAAGTTGAAATCTATTTGACTGAGCTTGTGTATGCTTACTTTATGTTATTTATAAGATGTAGTGAAGGACAGGGCTGGAGCGTAACTTCCTTCAATCGAGTACAAACCGTAGAGGAAGAGTTCGGGCAGAAGAGGCTGAAGAATTACACTTACACACATACACACTGTATGCTATTCACTGGTAACTGGCTGTTTGTTAGTGTAAGAACAATTTGTGAACTAGAGAATTGATCATTATTGAATTTTTATAGACATATAATAAATTTTGAGATGAAAACTATGCACCATTTACTTAATGGTGACCAGGAGTATGGAAAATGAGAGGTGGTTAATAAATGAGTGTTTCTAGAAATTCTTGGATCGTTACAATGTACATGTATATATATATATATATATATATATACAAACACACACACACACACACAACATTCATGTCATACCTTAACTTTTTAAAGATATTCACAAAGTTAATTTCATGTATTAAAATTAAGTTTTAATGTATTTTTTTACAAACTATATATAAATGTCTTAATTTCCAATGTTGGTTATATAAATCAGTATTTATGTTTTTTTTTTTTAAAACACTACCTAGGTGGGTATTTTTTTGAAGCACTTAAATAAAATGGGATTTTTGTTCTAATTATATGAATAAACGATTTATGTAGATGTATGCACGCACTCAAACACACTATCATTATTAGTATGACGACTGTATAAGCATGCAAGCAAGCTTATCCTTTTGGCATTTTCTACTTAATTTCAGTTTGACACCAATTTTATCACTTTCTTCTAACCCAGTACGGGTTGGTCGGTCCTAGTTTCAATACTGAGCATTACACGGTCAGTTTCCCCAATAAATTATGATTTGGAAAAATATAATACGTGTAAACATTTATTCAAATATTTTACTATTTAAAAATTATAAATTATGATGTCCAAAATGATATCACTGTAAATTATTTAATTAAATAGACAAAATAATTTGTCAACTACGGCATAATTTTCACGATAATTAATGTTACAGCTCCAAAACCAGCTTTAAATTTTTTTAAAAAAACCATGAGCGGCGCTTGTGGTTTCGGTTTCCTTGTGTAAACGATAAACGACCGTGCCAAGTTGTGGCGGGGGTGAAGAATAGAAATTCAAAATCTTTTGTGGGGGCCAAATTGTAAAATCGAAAACTCTCGTTGCCAAGAAGCTTCGAAGTTTTCGTGAAGATGTGGGGCCCGCATAGTTTTTGTTTTTTGTTTTCACATTCTTTCTCTCTTATCTTAGGAAAGGAAAACGTGTGGGCCCCTTTTCACTCCTGCACGAGTTCGCTTTATGAAAATAATTCACCGTAGTGAAAAAGAAGTCAAAGTGCGTGTAGTACAAGGACGATGTTGGTTGAGAAGCAGGCAACTGACACGTGTGAAACCTCCTTAACGTATTCATTTGGTTTCTGCGTGTTAAGGGGTTTTCCTTTTCGTAGATATAAATTTTTATTTACAAACATAAAAAATAAAAGTTGCTGTCATTGCGTTTTTCTTCGAAACTGGCAGCAAGCAAATCGTTCGTCTTTAAAACGGTGCCGTTACCAAAAACCAACCTAAGAATGATGGGCTTGCTTTGGGCCTTGGTCTTATATTAAATTTGATATGGATTGATTTCGTTTTGGGTTTCTAAAGCCCACCAGTTGATTGAAATTGGGGTTTTGGGTAAAAATGCATTTTGAAGTAAACAGAGACATACATGATGAATATGTAGTTCTATCTCAAAGAAATAAAACTAGTTGGATTAATTTGACAGGTAGGTTGACAACTAGTTTAGTTCATTTGAATTAATCTCAAACAAACAAATCGTAGCTTCCCCCCCCCCCAGTACATTCAATATTACTACTACTATTACTACTGTACCATTTTCTTCTCTAAACAAACAAAACCAAATTCATCCCTAACTGCAATTGAAAAAACAAGAAACTAAAAGGAATTAAGTAAAAAAAGAAGGAATTAATTTAAGCATATTTTAATTAATTAATATAAAAGAAATTAAATTAAGAGTTAGATTTCTTGAGCTCTTTTCTTTTATTGGCGAAAACTTCTCCGTGTCTCATAATCCAAAACCTCTCAATCTCTTCTGCTTTCCGTCCAGGAATCCGCCCAGCTATCAAGCCCCACCTGCACCATTATATGTCAGCTTACCACTCATGCATATATATATATATTCATCCCTTTATCAAAAACACTCAAATGTATCCTGAGGAATCCCTGATTTTCCAGCTAACTTATATTATTCAGAAGAAATCATATTGATTTTGTCTCCCAGCTAACTGCTGATTGGAATCCAAAGCATTTGCTTCTTCTTTTTTCTATTACTGTCTACCATATATATATATAAACACCTTGCATGTACATATATGATACCACAATCTAAATACACTATATTTATAGTCCCACTTGCATCTCCAGTTCAGAACAGTTGGATACAAACAAAAAGAACAATCAATCAAACCCATACATGCATGAGAGATCAGACTGAGGTCATGTGAAAATAAGAAGTACTTCCATTTGAGCTCCAAGCTAAGTAAATACAAGATCAATCGCTCAGAAACTATTAGCTACTTCCCCGTTTAATTTGCATATGTTATGAGCTAGTTATGGTGTTTGTTAATAGAACAATTACCTCTCGCCAACCAGCTTATACATTCTGTAAATGAGGTCCTCTTCTTGTTCGGACATTTTTATGAAATCCCATTCAATACTGCTCACCTCTGTAATAACACAAACGCAAAAGATTATAAATTTAAGTGACTCATCCAGAAAGATGTCTTACCCACTTGCTAAAAAAGAAATATCACTTAGAAAGAAGCTGGGAAGTTGAGGAATATTGAAAAAGAAAGCCATTAGAGAAGGAAATTAGGAGTATGTAGATATATATGGTGGGTAAAGAAATAAAAGAAGGCATTAAAGAAGGTAACGTGTGAAGACCTTCTTCAGAGGAAGAAGTACTGGTTTTAGCATTTTTGCGGCCATTTTTGTCCATGCCTAATTTCTTTCCAAAACTAGAAAGTTTTTCGTGAGAGTGAAAGAAGAAAGAAATGTAGAGAGACAGAGAGAGAGTTATTAAGAAGGAGGAGGCGGTAGATGGAATGTGTAGATAGCTGAATGGGTAATTAATAGTTTCTTGATACTTGAAGAAATTTAAATGATTTTTATGTGGGTTGTATTTATTATTATGAAAAATAATGAGAGGGGAAGGAAGATGAAGTAAAGGAAAGGAACGAACGGCAGGTCCTACCAAACAAACAAAAATGAAGATGGTTGACTTGTAGTTGTCTCTCCTTTATCACATTCATCTTCCAAAGTTCAACGCTTTGGGAACTCTCCACATCAAATTTTTCTGATTAATATTTATCCCATCAGCATATTTGTCTTTTTCTTAAGTTTCAAGTATTAGAAAAAGAAAATCTTAATTATATATGGATTAATAGCTACAGTCGTCTGTATCATCTATGCGTTGGATATATAATTATTTACTAATTTAGCATATGATTTTTTTTTTTTATATATAAAAACATTCGTATGCGTAGAGAAGCATATTTATTAGTGAGCAATGAGTTTTGTCATCTTATAGTTAGACTTTTTAAGTTCCAAGCCTGCTGTCTTTTTTATTTTTATTTATTTTTTCTTATTTTTAATTTATTATTTTTGTTAATTAATTAATTAAAATTATTTCTAAAAATTTTTAACACATGATTTAATTTTTTTAATTTAAAATTAGTAAAGTTTAAACATTTAAAGCAAATAAAAATATTACAGAATTAATTGTAAAAGAAATTAGGGACTTATTCATTAATAACTACTGTTTGTAAAATTTGAATAAAGCAAACCTTAAAAAGATTTATAATTTTCCATATTCGTGTGGGATACAAAAGCTTTTGGCCATTAGAAATTAGAAATATATGACAATTTGATTCTGATCACGAGCATGCGCGACTGAAAATATTCTCCTTATTTAAATTGATCATGAAAGGAAGTACAACTGCATCATAGAAATTATAAATTTCAGGTTATTTATGGGAGTTGATGAGAAAGTATCAGTCTTTCAAGTTTTCCATATATGTATATATGTGTGTGTGTGCGTGTGTATAGGTTACTGATTATTTTTATATTTATATTATATAGTTGGCCGAAAAGGATTTTTGATTAATTGGGGTAATAACATGTAATATAGAGGTATGGTCAAGCATATAAAAAGGGCGTTTAGCTTTTCTTGAGTGGAACCATCTTATTCCTTCTGATATCTTTTTGATATGAAAAAAGACATATTATCTATTCTATTTGTTTAAAGCACATAATATGTAGTGGTAGCGTGTGTTTGTGTGTGTATGTATATATATATATATACATACACACACAGTATACGCATATAGATTATGGATGTAGTTGGCAGCAGAAAGCGTCAGATGTCCCAAGATTCTGACAAGTAATCAGCTTGCTAGCTTTAGCAAAGATTTTGAATGATCTTTATAAGACCCTGTGTGTGAAAGATGATGAGAACTACTTTTTGAAGATTGGATTTTATATATATATATATATATAATGCTTTTACATGCAATCGCATTCCTAGCTAGCTTTTTACTTATTGGCTCTATGTATCATATGGCCAACCTAGCAGCTTTTTCTCTTTCTATGCGGCTCAGCCTTCAAACACTTACCTAATTTACCTGTTTTATTAGTATAAATGGTGAGAATGTCTTGAAAAATTAAATCTCAAAGGATTTTATCATTCTTAAAGATGCAATATTTGATCTTTTAGGGTTTGTTTATTAATTTTTTTAGGTGAATTTTTCAATCTTAATGTAAATAATTTATCTTTGGCAACACTAATAGAAAAATTTTAATAATATGTTAATGGTTAAAGACCCTAATAAAAGGGACTGAGAACAAAAGGGAAACTAATTAAAAAGTGAGGAATTTGTACTATATATCAATTATATATGTGTAATAATGATTGTTATGATTACATAACTTTTAATAAGAATTGAGAAATCAAGTGTATAAAAATGTGGGTGGTGGAATTGATAAGGGTGGAGGTGGGTCATGGCCTCTGATCTCAACTACTCATCACCCACCAAAATCAACTAGCCGAATGACTGGTTCCAATCATGGGTAAATTCCCCACTTTTCCAAATACTCAGTAATTGATTCTCTCTCTCCTTTTATATATATATATATATATATATATAATGATTCTTTTTGCTAAACAATCTAAAAGAGGTCAAACATGTAAGGCAGGATTATGTGATTCTCACGTTTACAAGTAATGTCAACTACTTAATTAGTTTATTTTAATTTAACGCAATAAGATAAAGAGGATTTTATGTGCAGGAAGCATACAAAAAGTTATCCTTGCTGACATATGACATGTCCTGATATATATATACATATATATATATATATATCTGTGAGTGTGTGTATCTATGTGTGTAAATATGAGTAAGATGAAATATAAAACAAGTTGAGTCTTGAGAGATGATGACACAGGAGTTACCCTGTTTAAGTCCCGGGTTTGTGCGTTGACCGGTAGGGTGAGAAGTTGAGAAGAGTTTGAACCAGACTAGATAGCTAGCAAGTTCTGAAAATTTCAGATCAGGCAGGAGCCAGAATACTTCACAACAATCGAGTGAAGAAAATAAACCAACATACTGCTTTTGTTCTCTCGGAAACATAATGGAATCTAGCAGTTCTACTTTGCATTAATTAATTCATTAAAAATATTTAATATTTTAATTTTATCTATAGGATCTTTAGGTTAGATCGATTACCATTTATTATGAAGCATGAATGAATTGTAAAAATGGATATATATATTTATACAATTTGCTGTAAATCAAGGGTTACTTCATTTTTTTTTTATAGTATTAATATATTTTTTTTTAAACATATCTTATTCTTATATTTTACTATCCGTACAGTAAATTATGGCTAATGATTATAATTTGAGTCAATTCAATTTACTGTTTTTAATTAAAGAAACTAAAATCTTGAGTTCAATAGACGTGCAACCCACAAAGAGTGATGCTTCCTTGGTAATGAAAATGTAATGTTAAAAAGAAAAAAAAGAAAAATCAGACAAAAGATTCTCCTTTAAATTCAAGGTCGTAAGAGTAAAGACAATAAAATTGTTATGAGAAACTTTCGAAACAAATTTTATGAAATTCTATGCTTAGTTCAACAACGTTTAAGCTGATAATCCTAAGTTCAAATAAATTATAATATATTTACCATTCTATTAAAATTATAATTTTCTAGTTTTTTTAAATAAATTTTACCAGAATCAATTCATTCAATCTAAATATATATTAATGCCATATTTGGAATAAATGAAATGTACCTATAAACTTAAATTTATGAGATAAAATTATTTCTTTTTTAGAAAAATTTTAATAAAATTTTATCAAAATAATTAAATTATGTTGTTTAAGTACTCAAAATAAAAAAAAAAAATCTTAGCACTCAGCATCAAACTTGAGTAAAGATTTAACATATGACCTACTCAATCAAGCCGAACTCAATTGGATGTCTTGAAAAAAAGTATCTGTTCATTGGAGCTGAGTCGGCCGCATTGAATAAGCATTCTTGCCCATTAATCAAGCCACTCCCCACTCTTTATCTTCCATCGAAGGAACTCATTCTCTATAATTTCTCAAGCAAATATCCAAGTGGAAAAAACATGTGAACAAAGGAACAGAGGATTAACCACTAACCAAAACAAGAAAAGTAAACCATATATCCCAACGTCAGCCGGGCTAAGACCGCCATTTCGAAAAAGCTCAAGCAGCATTTGTAACGTGTTAATTTCAGGAGCATAAAAAAGGTTTGGACCATGAAAAGAATTTCTTGCAGGCTCTTGAAACAGAAATGTCAACAAGAAATGTATAGACAAACAGTTCTACAGAAATGACGAGACACAATCCACTAACGTCGTCTCCCGTTGGGAGTCTAAACTGCACGAACGTAATTTTTGAGAGTCAATTGCCTCACAATAATGATTTACACCTGGATCATGTGGAGTAATAGAATTAATTTCTTAAACACTAGGATTACAAAGGATAAGGTTCCCGGGGCCCAAAAAATATGTTGGGTGAATTGGTACCTACTTCTTTAACTCTTGATCTGCCAATTACATATTGATATCTAATTATTACAGTGAAATACCTGACATCCCACTTCAGGATGGTTATAACCTGTTATGATGATGTTGGATGCACTTACCATGGTCTGCCCTTCCCACCGAGCCGACGTGCAAGCTCAAAGTCTTTTCTCACTGGTATATATAGATATATGAGAAAATAAGAAACTTATTTCATAATGAACTGTTAATTCAAGAGCCTAGTACGCCAAGGTTGACTGACAAGGAAATATCACAAATAGTTGCAACGCATATTTGCATAATTGCGTCGATTAAATTAGAGGTGAAGTTAATCAATGCAGAACATTCATGTTAAACAACATACTTGACGATTATTTTCCTTTTTTTTAGTCATTGCTGGAGCTATTATTCTTAAGAAGAAAAGAATTGAGGGAACTCGGATGAAAGACAAAATGGGCATCGAATTGACAGAAAACTGAAAATTTTGACTAAAAATTTGAGAATAAAATATGTAAGCAGTGCCTCTATTGCGTAGGAGGCATCCCCTCAAAGATATTAATGACTCAACAAATAAACTTTTAAATTTCTTTGCTGAGGTGCTTGCATATGCATTTTTTTCCTCATTCATATATAATCTGGAGGTTGCTATAACCTAACCCCTATTTTCACGGGTCTAGTGTTCAAGCTGATGGACCTGCATTAATCCCAAGAAAGGAAGCCAGGAAAAAACAAGAAAGCAAGCCAGTCTTGCCAAGCAATGATTATTGATCTATCCTCTGAAGTGTAATTCCAGGATCAGCAAATTATAAATTATCAGAAACCAGAAAAACAAAAGTAAACCTTTTCACGGCAATTGTACTATATTGGCAAGCAACCATTCACAAGAAGTGGAAGAAACATGGCAAATGAAGGTTAAGAAAGGGTATTGTAGCTGGATAAAGAAGTGCTAAAGTCTAACATACTCAGTGTAACACGCTTA